GAAAGAGACTGAGCCCCAGAGTGAAAAGCAGAAGAGAAAGCCCTACAGGCTAAATGACCTACAAAGACAGACCAGACCCATGGGCAGAATGGTCACTACCCACTCCTCCTGTGCCCATGTAAAGAGACTTCCCTACAGAGACAAGCCATGAGAGACTCTTAATCTCTGGAAACAAACTGAGGGTTGCTGGAGTGGTGGGGGGTGGGAGGGATGGGGTGACTGGGTGATGGACACTGGGGAGGGTATGTGCTATGGTGAGCACTGTGAATTGTGCAAGACTGATGAATCACAGACCCCTGAAAGAAATAATACACTGTATGTTAATAAAAATAAATAAATAAAAAATAAAATAAAATAACATGCAGAGTCAAAAAAAAAAAAAAGAGAGAGAGAGACTTCCCTACAGAACACTCTTGGCCCCTCACTCACTCCTGCTCCGCTTTTGGGAGAAGGAACTGGGCTTGCGAAGCACAGTCCTTCCAGGTTCTCCCTTTAGGATGTGCCTGCCTGCAGAGAGGGTGCCTCCTTGTGTGTTCCCAGCCCTGCAGTGAGCTTAGCGGGGCTGACGCTATGCAGCTGCAACAGTGCCTAGTAAGTAAATCCAATCGGGGACTCAGAATCTAGAGGCTCACTGTTGCTACATATTATTTCCGAACACCTAAGTCACGTCTTCCAACCTAACTTTTAACAGTTCCAGAGCTACCATTCTGATCTCCACTTATCTGACTTGCATCTATCTCTCAACAGGCGCCCCCTCTGGCAGTGAGGAGGGGTGCTTTTACTGGGCCCACAAAAATTCTAACAAGACTAACAGACCTAACCAACACAGAGACTGAAGACAGAGGAACTAAGAAAATAGTAAAGCAGTGTAAAGAGTAAACTCCATTTACCCATTTTCTGCATGCCTGTGTCACTATTTCTTGACAAAGAATAAATATAGGACTCAGAAATACGGGCCTTACCTGTCACTCTGCTTGGTTCCTTTGCCGTCAAAAACGGTGGGAGAGTCTGCCCAGGGCACAACCGCCGTCCAGATGATGCCAAACCAGTCCCCCACTGGAACACGATACCACTTGCTTCCCGATGGAGAAGAAGAAAACGAGAAAATGTTTTACGGGATTAAGACAAGATTGCTCCTGGAGCCCCATGCTACGGGAGTTTCTCAATGCATTCTCAGTTAACACACTTGCTATGGAGAAGCTCAGTGCTTCCAGGGACCCTATGACTTGGTTACCACCAAGCCAATCACAAGTCCAATCTTCAGGGCAATCTAAAACCATCAAAGAAAATTCCCACATACTAAAACTCCTTCCAAAAAGTTCCAGGACACTCTTCCAGAGTCAAAGCACTGAAACGACACCTTGTTCATGACTAACCTGGAAGGACAACTCAAACTCCTGACCCAGCAGGAAAGAACCTGGAAGATTATCAAGTCCATTCCTCACATTTAGTAGACGAGCAAACTGAGGGCTTGAAAGACAATGTGATGTGCCCAAGGTCATACAGGGAGCTAGTAGCAGAGAAAATACTAGGACTCAGCTCTCGTAACGCCTAATGCAGTGTTTTTTCTACTACACCAAGATAAATGCAGTGATTCCTAATTACCAAATAAATACATATTTATGACTGCAAGATAGCTTAATAGCCACTCCTTCAGGGGAACGGCCTTTTATTTCCCTATCCACTGAATCTAGTTCATGTGCCCATGTTCTGAACCTCATGTAAATGCAGAGGTAACTTTTCATATATTTAAACTACAGTCACTCCTCCAGAAGCATCCTGTAACCCACGTTCCTTTGGGCTGTAAACAGACCAGCCCACTTTGTGAAATAGAAGTGATGACGACTAGCAAAACACAGTGCTGAAATAAAACAAAACTTACCCTCTCTTCCACAAATAAATTGCAAGGGGGAGAAAAAGTGAGGAAAAACAATTTATAGATTAAAAGAATCTTGTGATATCTGATAAGGGATTAATATTCAAAATATATAGCGAACTCCTAAAACTCAACAACTCAAAAAAAACCTGATTCAAAAATGAGCAAAGGATTTGAAGAGACATTTCTCTAAAGAAAACATACAGATGAGGGCGCCTGGGTGGTTCAGATGGTTAAGCGTCTGCCTTGGGCTCAGGTCATGATCCCCGGGTCCTGGGATTGAGCCCCACCTTGGGCTCCCTGCTCAGCAGGGAGCCTGCTTCTCCCTTTCCCTCTGCCTCTCTTCCCTGCTCATACTCTCTCTCTCTGTATCTCTGTGTCTCAAATGCATAAATAAAATCTTAAAAAAAAAAAAAAGAAAGAAAGAAAACATACAGATGATCAAAAGGCACATTTGAAAGAGGATCAATATCACTAATTATTAGAGAAATGCAAAACAAAGCCACAACGAGATACTACTTCATACTCATTAGGATGGCTACCATTAAAAAAAAAAAACAGAAAATAACAAATGTTGGCAAGGATGCAGAGTTATTTGGAACCCTTGTGCACTACTGGCAGAAATGTAAGTGGTACGGCCCTTGGGGAAAACAGCATGGCAGTCCCTCAAAAAATTAAAATAGAATTACTATATGATCCAACAGTTCTACTTCTGGGTATATATCTTACAAAACTGAAAGCAGGACCTGGAAGTGATATTTGTACACCCATGTTCATGGCAGCCTTACTCACAATAGCTGACACACAGCGGCAACCCAAGTGTCTATCAACAGGTGAACGGATAAGCAAAATGTGGTCTATCCACACAATGGAATAGTCAGCCTTAAAAAGGGAGAAAATTCTGACACACGCTACAACATGGATAGACCCTGAGGACACTATGCTAAGTGAAATAAGCCACAAAAGGACAAATACTGTACAATTCCACTCATAGAAGGTACCTGTGTGAGTGGTCGAAATCACAGAGCCAGAAAGAAGAATGGCAGTCGCCAGGGGCTGGGGGGAGGGGAAGTTATTGTTTGTGGTTCCACAAGATGAAAGGAGTTCTGGAGATGGATGGTGGTAATGGTTGCACAATAACATGAATGGACTGTACACGTAAAAATGGTTAAGATGGTAAATTCTGTCATGCACATTTTATCACAAAAAATTACAAGGAGTAAATAAATAAGTATTTTTAAAAGGAGAGACATGACACTCATATCCACCACTTGCAGCCTAGACATCATTGGGATCCTGACTCAAACAAACTGTTAAAAAAAATATTTTGGAGACAGTCAAGAAAATTTAAACACTGACTGGATACTTGATCGAATTGCAGATTTATTGTTAGTGTTTTGTAGGTATGATGATGGTATTTTGGTAATGATTTCAGAAAGAGTCCTTATCTTTCAGAGATGCCTGCAGAAATATTTACAGATTAAATGGGAGTGAGGAGGACTTACAATTAAGTCCATCAAACGCAACTGAGGGTTGCTGGAGTGAAGGGGGGTGGGGGGGATGGGTGACAGACATTGGGGAGGGTATGGGCTATGGTGAGCGCTGTGAACTGTGTAAGACTGACGAATCACAGACCTGTACCCCTGAAACAAATAATACATTATATGTTAAAAAAGAAGATAGTAGGAAGGGAAAAATGAAGGAGGGGAAATCGGAAGGGGAGACGAACCATAAGAGACGATGGACTCTGAGAAACACACTGAGGGTTCTAGAGGGGAGGGGGGTGGGGGGATGGGTTAGCCTGGTGATGGGTATTAAAGAGGGCATATTCTGCGTGGAGCACTGGGTGTTATACGCAAACAATGAATCATGGAACACTGCATCAAAAACTAATGATGTAATGTATGGTGATTAACATAACATAATATAAAATTTTTTTTAAAAGTCCATCAAATGGAAACTGCTTTGTAACTGGACAGAAATGTACACATAAGACTAGCAATTACAGAAGTTGGTAGGAAAGGGGGAATTAAACCAAAAATAGGCAATTCTCCAGTCCTGCTAATTTCTAAAAAGAGAAGCAGCTTATAAAAATGTAATCACTAGCATACAACTCAGCAATCACACTCCTGGGCGTTTATCCCAGAGAAATGAAAATTTATGTCTGCATAAAAACTTGTCCACAAATGTTTATTGCTTTATTCTTAATAGCCAAAACCTGGAAACAACCAGATGTCCCTCAATGGGTGACTGGTTAAACAAACTGCGTTGTTGTGGGCTGAACTGTGCCCCCAAAAATTCTTACGTTGAGGCCCTAAACTCAGGTGTGACTGTATTTGGAGAGAGGCCTGTAAGGAACTAATAAAGGTTAAATGGGTCATAAGAGTGAGGCCTTCAACGGACAGAACTGGTGTCCTTATAAAAAGAAGAGATACCAGATGCCTCCCTCTCTCCATGAGTGCACAGAGCAAAGGCCCTATAAGGACACGGCAAGAAGGCAGCCATCTACAAGTCAGAAAGAGACGCCTCACCGGAGAGCAATCCTCCTGGCCTCTTGATCTGGGACTTCTAGCCTCTGTAACTGTAAGGAACTGTTTAAGCCATCCAGTCTGTGATATTTCGTTATGGCAGCCTGAGATGACTAATTCAGTGGTACATCTATACCAGGGACTGCTACTACTCAGCAATAAAAAGGAACAAATTATTGATACACACAGCTTGGATGACTCTCCAGGGAATCCTGCTGAGCAAAAACAGTCAACCGCAAAAGGCTACATACTGTATGATACCATTATATAACGTCCTTGAAGTGACATTACTGTTGGGGAACAGAAGAGCAGCTGCCAGGAGCTAAGAAGGGGTGGGGGCAGGTAGGAAGTGAATGTATAAAAGGTACCTACAAGGGTGTATAAAAGTGAGTGCTAGGAAAAGGCCACAGGCGGGACGGTTATGGTGACGGAGCTGTTCGTATCCTGACCATAGCAAGACCGGCCGGGCTGCTGAGCTACAGTTTCACAAAATGTCACCGCTGGGAGGAACTGGGTAGAGAGTGCATGAGATCTATTTTATTTCTTGCAACTGCATGTGAATCTGCAATTATCTCAAAACTTGTTTCCTACATGCGCAACATTAAGCCCCAGGCGACCATCAGTACCGAGCTGCACTGGACCCTTCCTCGCCCCCTCCGGCCTCCCCGGGCCGCGACTGGACTCATCAACGCTTGAGCCTGAGCTGCCACAGCCAGTTAGGCCTGCCCTTCACCTCGTGAGAGTGGGAGCAGAAAAACGACCCAGGGAGAGGAGAAAGGCTCACCGTTCTTCTGCAGGCCACCACCTCTCTCCACCTGCCACCGTCACCCTCACACACACTGTCAGCCTGAGGTCCACCACCACTCTCTCATGGTACAGGAGAGGAGCTCATTGGAAGCTTTGACGTTAATAAACGTTAAAACCCACTAGGAAAGCAGTGTAGTTCACAGTAAAAAATGTGGGCCTTGGAAAGGAGGTCATTCCAGACTCTGTTCCCAGCTCTACCTTTGACCACCTTATCCCCTGCACAAACTTAGACAAGCACTCGAGTCTATGCACCTCAGTTTCTTCACATGTAACTTGCATCACGGCAAGGTTGTAAGGATGAAATAAGGTATGGATTAAATCAAGAGAATCTAGCACCATGCCTAGAACATAATAAGGAACTAGAAAACTTCATTTCCTTCCTCCCCACCTGCTGAAGGTTTCCCACATGACTTTGGCCTTGTGTCTCCTCCTTCTAATCAGAAATGCAGCACAGCAGGACACTTTGAATTACTCCTTAGTTTTTTTCCTCTAAAGCTCTGTTTCTCTTTATTATGAGCCCATTTTGAAAATAAAAGCAAGATGATCACCTGTAGCAGCTAAAGCATGCCTCAGTCCAGCAGCAATGCAAACAACCTTCTCTCTCAGGAGCTGTCGAAAGAAAGAAAAGGACTGAGATCTTAGAATCACCCATCTGCAAGATGTTATGTACTTTATGCCCTGATACAATGCAGCATGGCCCTCCTTACATGTCTGACTGGTTTAGAGTCCCCAACCTCCAACATTTCCATCCCTAAATACCTCTCTATGTATTCTGAAAAGGAAAAAAATCTTTTAAAAATAAATGTATCACAATGTGTCTCAGGGCTGCAAGGGACCTTCATCCAGTCCAGGGGTTGGCAAATGTCTTCTATAAAGACCAGAGAGGAACTATTTTAGACTTTGCAGGCTACATGGTTTGTGTCATAGTCTCTGCTCTGCCAACGTAACATAAAAGCAGCCCCAGGCAATCCATGAATGAATGGGCATGGCTGTGTTCCAGCAACACTTCATTTACCCAGGGTTCTAGCTGGATGGCCTCTGATCTAGTCCAAGCCCCATCCAATGCCAGAACCCCTCCACAACACCCCAGGAAATCATCATCCTACCCCTCCCAAGCAGCTGCTTCCAGTGACATGTGCTCACTATCCCCGGGTGCCTGCTCCGTGTTTCCACCATTCCATTTACCTCCTTAGCTGCCTCTAGCCTCTCACAATGCTTTCCAAATATGTGAAGACAGTTGTGCGTCCTCTCTAAGATGTCTTGTGGTGGCTTTAAAACCAAGTCCTCAAATTCTTTGAAACCCACCCCTTCAAGTTGTGGAGCCTAATTCCCCTCTGGCTGAATGTGGGCTGGACTTGGTGACTTGTTTCTAGTGACCAGGATAAAGAAGTGATGAGCAGCCTAGAGACAAGGTGATAAAAGGCACTGAGTCTTCCTGCTTGGCCTCACTCTCGAATCTCTCTTGGGGGAAGCCAGATGCCATGCCTGCACAATCCCACAGAAACGCCCACGTGGCAAGGAACTAAAGCCAACTGCCAGGTGAGAGAGCATGGCAGCGGGTCTGCCAGCCCAGCCCAGAGCCGTCAGCAGACAGCCTGCAGCCCTAGCTAACATCTTGACCGTAACCTCATGAGACCAGCTAAGTTGTTCCAAGATCCCTGACCCTCAGAAACTGAGATAGTAAGGCGCCTGGGTGGCTCAGTTGGTTGAGTGGCTGCCTTCGGCTCAGATCATGATCCTGAAGTCCTGGGATCGAGTCCCACATCGGGCCCCCTGCTCAGCAGGGAGTCTGCTTCTCCCTCTGATTCTCCCCCCCTCATGCTCTCCATCTCATTCTCTCTCTCAAATAAAATAAATAAAATCTTAAAAAAAAAAAAAAAAGAAACTTATATAGTAAATGCTTGTTGTTTAAAGTTGCTAGTTTTTTTTTTTTTGAGAGAGAGAGAGCATGCACTCTTCACTCCACCCTGCACACTATCCCTTCTGCCCCCCCGCAACACACTGTTCTGACCACTTGCCATATACTACCTCCCTGATGGCCCCCTCCCCATGGGCACTTCTACCACTTCCTTATGTTCCAATCATACTAAACTGCTTGCAGTGTCTCAAACCCTGATATTTTGTGCTTCTACACCTTTGCTTATGGTTCCTTCTGTGTGGAACGCTCTTCTTTTATAGCTACTCTGTGCATCTTATCTCAAGCCATGTAAACTTCTACTCAACTTTCAAGACTCAGCATAAGCCTGTCCTCACTCCACCTCCCTCTCCCTAGAAAGAGTTAAGTATTCCCTCCTTTAAGGCTATACCTGCATCCACCATAGTTTTAACAAGGTAATGCATTTAGATGTTTCTATATCTACCCTGGACCACTAAACTCTAAGACCCGCAAATGCTAAGATTGGGTCATACTCACCTTTGTCCCCACGGCCCTAAACACAGTGCCTACACGCAACAGCTGCTATTTAATATATGAATGAATTTCTCTTATGTTTCACTTTGGCACATTCCTCCCGTTGTTCAAGAGGATACAGCCTGACAAATGTTGTCACCTCCTGATTCTGTCATCCAACATATTTTAACCATTGTTCCCTTCTGTCTTCTTTAATCATGTGACCTAAGCTAAATTAATTAGAACTTATGTAGGTTCTTAAAAGGCCATCTATTTGTAATTGGCAACTGTAACACTTCCTACGACAGGGACTGCAGAGTCTAGATTTCTCTGCATACCATGTGCTACAGACTGAATGTTTGTTTTCCCCTGAAATTCATATACTGAAACCTATTACCCAATGTGATAGTATTTGGAAATGCGGTCTTCTGGAGGTGATTAGGTCATGAGAATGGAGCCCTTATGAATGGGATTAATGCCCTTATAAAAGAGGCCCCAGAGAGCTCCTTTGTCCAGCAAAATGAGTGTCTATGAACAAGGAAGCAGGTCCTCACCAGACACCAATTCTGCCGACGCCCTGATCTCGGACTTTCCAGCCTCCGGAAGTGTGAAAAATAAATGTTTGTTGTTGAAGCCACCCAGTATATAGAATTCTTGTGACAGCAGCCTGAACACTCTAAAACACTGTGGAGATCATGACCTCAAATAATATCCCAAAGACCAGCAACTGTAATTCAGCAATATGACCAAGTTCTCTCCAATGAAAACAGATCTCCTACTCTGAGTCAGAGTTCAAGAAAATTAGCTAGATGTGAGCAGCTGAGGTGGTGGGAAACTCATTTTAGATCCCAGGATATTTCTTTTAAAATTCCATAGTCCCTGGGCACCTGGGTGGCTCAGTGAGTTGAGCAACTGACCCTTGGTTTCAGCTCAGGTCATGATCTCAGGGTCGTGGGATCGAGTCCCATGCTGAGCACAGAGCCTGCTTCTCTCCCTCTCCTTGTTCCCCTCCCCCACCACACACACGCTCTCTGTGTGTGTCTCTCTCAAATAAATAAATCATTAAAAAAATAAAATAAAATTCCACAGTCCTATTGTGACCACTTACATACAAACTTCACAAAAATGTGTACATTTTAAGTATGGATGCAGTGGAAAGAGCTCTGAACTAGGGCCAGGAGTCCTGTCTAGGAAGAAGCCACTAGCTACATGCAGCTACCAAGTAACCGATATGTGACTAGACACAACTAGGCTAAACTGAGACACACTCTGAATACAAAATGTACACCAGAGATTAACTTGTATGAAACAGACAACATAAAGCATCTCATTAGGAAATGTTAACATTAGTGACACATATAATGAAATAATACTAGTTTGAATACATTGGGTTAACTTAAAAGTTATTAAAATTAATTTCACCTACACACCACATATGAGTGAAACTTAAAAACATCATGTGACATGAGAGAAGCCAGACACAAAAAGCCACATATTCTATGATTCCATTTATGTGAAATGCCCAGAATAGGCAGATCCACAGAGACAGATGAGTGGTGGCCAGGGGTTGGGGGAGGGCAGAAGGGGAAGTAATTGCCATCGGGTACACAGTTTCTTTCCTGGTGATGAGAATGTTCTCAAATTAGATAATGCTGACGGCTGCACATCTCTGTGATATACGAAAAACCACTGAATTATACATTTTTAAAGGGTAAATTCTATGGCATGTGAACTACATCTCAAGAAACCTGTTATTTTAAAAATTAATTTCATATTTTTCTCTTTACTCTTAAAAATGATGCTACTAAAAAATCCTAAATTACATATGCGATTCACATCACATTTTTATTGGGCACTACTGATCTACCATTTGCTGAGCTTAGTGTCTTTAGCTAAGTCACTTCTATCTGGACCTGTTTCTAACCTAGTTCCCATTATTACTAATTTTAGAATTGTAAAATGTAATTAATGTCTTTGTGACATATATTACTTTCATTGTTTTATTTCACAAAAATTTATAACGTGTATGAGGACTAACAGAGGATTTTCACTCACAACCTCCATCACCCACCCCCGACCTACTTTTTCCCGGGAGAACCTAGGTTTTCCAACTTAAATTCTGACTAGCCCCTGGGTTTTCAGGGACCCAGCCAGTCTCTGAGTCTGGGGCAGGGAAACGCTTTAACAGGACGGGGGTCAGCTACATATTGGGTGCTATCCTTACCTCCATGGCCTGGGGAACCACACATCTTCGAGGGCCATGAGGAACCCCCAGCTGGCCAAAGGAGTTGGATCCACATGACAGAACTTGACCACTCTCTGCAAAATTCAAATACTTAAACCATAATCTAAGAAGTAAGATATCTGTAACCAGTGGGTAAATGCTGAAGGATGGGAACAGCAAAGGGAATGAGAGGAGGAAGTGGGGCCTGTGATTCAGCACATTCAAACCACAGTCCCTGCTTTTATTGTTCCTCTAGGAATAAAAACACAAGGCACTGGGCTAGTTTCACAGATTCTCCATCACACTACCTAATTAATGGCAGCTTATCTGTGTAGAACATTAGCCTGCTGCCTGGTGCTGGGATGGGAGGATACTTACTCCCCACTTTTCTCATTTCCATGCATCACAATTTTCATTATTTTAACACTCCAGGCCTCTCTCCCTGCTCCTCCCCATGCTCACTGCCTCCCAGGGGAAAAGGGATAACCTAACCAACTGATGGATTTGGGAGAAGGAACATGACATGTGTGGCTTGGTACCTTCCTCTCAGGTATTCTGGACTGATGCAGAGTAAGTGCTTCCCCTACACAGATAACCTAGTGTTTGGAGAATAAGTTTGGCTCAGAGGAGTGTTACAGAACCCCTTGGCCTGACCATCAACCCTGTCCTCCAACTTAGCCTTTATCAGTGAAAAGCCAATAGTGTGATCTCCAGCTATCTGGCTGCTCTCCTCCTTTCTCACAACTGGTTCCACAAGTGAGCAGGAAACAGAGTGTTATCCACTGACATCTCATAACCCCAACACAGTCCACGAAAAGCACTTCAGAAATGATAGCTATTATTTAGAGTTATTACTACTAAATTCAGCACACATTACAGAACCCCTCCGCAGAAGAGATGGTGATGCCTGAGCAGGGTTTTAAAGAAGGGGTAAGAGTTCATCAGAGAGACAAAACTGTTCTCTGTACCAGAGAACAATGTTCTGTGTGATATTTCTAGAAAGAAAACTATGGGGAATGTGGAGAATAAAAGACAAGGCAACAACAGGGATAGGTAGGGAACAATAATCGAAGCCATGTGCTCAAAGCCTGGGATCTGAGCTATGCTCATGAGAATCCACAAGGGTGGGGGGGCGGGAGAGGATATGGTCAGAAGATGCCCTTTCCAGAGGACTGTCAACGAGGGAATCTAATCAGAAACTCTAGACGGTCTTTTCCATCCAGAATGACAAGCTAGATGGGGCAAAACTACTTCCAGGGAAAAAGAAGTAACTATTGCTAGCTGCTCCCAAGAGCATTATCCTATTAACCCTTTGGCCATGTCCCTCTACATCCTATTCTGCTACCTGGCTTTGCAGAGACTAAACAATTCCGCCCAACCATATTTAATTTTTTTTTAAATCCTTCACTGGGGAAAAAGCTGTTACCACTGTTGTGTGACCTCTGATTTCCTCATGCTTCCCCACCACATTCCCCCATGAGTAGCCCTTAGTCAGCACGACTGGCCAGCTAGCCCAGACAAACAGCTATCATGAATTTCTGGGACAGGAAGTAGCCACCAAAGTTAATCTAGTCCATCCCCCAGTTTCTGGCAAAGAATTTTCTATCCCAAAATTTTGCTGTTCAAACTCCTCTTGCAAAAGGCACCCACAACCTTCCTCAACAACCAGAGAGAAATTTGTATGTGTGTTTACACATATAGAGGATTTCACTTAATTGGGATCACCACCACCAAGCTCTTCTCACCCACTGCCTTTGTGGTGATAAAGACTTACCCAAGAGTGAACTCACCTGTGAGAATAATGGTAAAATCCCAGCCACAGGCCACCTGTTGGATGGGACAGCCAAGGAGGGATGGGCAGGCAGTAAAATACAGAACATCTTCTGTGTGACCAAGCCCCAGTTGCCCGTCTTTGTTCAGGCCACAAACAAAAAGGCCTCCACCATCTGCAAAAAGGAAAAGGCTTTGGTGATAGCGTACACAGGGGAAATTACAACTGTCAAAGTGAGAAAAAGGATCTCACTAATTAGTTGCAGTCACAAACCCAGCAACTCTTTTCCCACGCGCATAATAAGCCACATAGGTTAATGTGCACTGGCCTAAATGGCATAGGGCCAAGGCGTTCAAATCTAGTACCTACATGGGACACTCCAAGTCCTAGAGCAGTGGCCAATCACCTAATTGAGCATCTACTAGAACAAGAAAAGCCAACATTCATTTAGAACTTAGAACATGCCACGTATTATGATACGAGCTTTATCTTTGGCTGATTTATCCTTTAGGCACAGGGCCTAGGGCCTACAATACTTTTAGAGGCCCACAAAAATGTTTTAATTTTATATATATATTTTTTAAGATCTTATTTATTTATTTCACAGAGAGAGAGCGAGAAGAGCACAAGCAGGGGGGTGCGGCAGAGGGAGAGGGAGAAGCAGGCTCCCCGCTGAGCAGGGAGCCCGATGTGGGTTCAATCCCAGGACCCTGAGATCATGACCCAAACCAAAAGCAGACGCTTAACCCACTGAGCCACCCAGGTGCCCCTAATTTTACATTCTTTTAAAATAAGAAAAAAATAAATGCAATAATAATGAATATGCAATGTTAAATCTAGCCTGGATTAGACTAATCTTTATATCAATGAGGTTGTAAAATAGAATTCTTAATATTTCTTTATGGAGGAAAGGGTCCACAAAGGCAAAAGTGCCAAGGACCCATGAAAGTCATAATGCAGCCCTGTCACTCACTGATTCTCCTCATCCAGCCTTATTACCCCCATGTAGCAAAGGGGAAAATGGCACAGAGGAATTAATATGCTCAAGGACACATGGCTAATAATAGAACCAGGATTTGAACCCAGGCAGTTGATTCCAGAACTCACTTTTTTTTTTTTAAGATTTTATTTATTTATGTGAGAGAGCGAGAAGCAGAGGGAGAAGCAGGCTCCCCGCTGAACAGGGAGCCTGACGTGGGGCTTGATCCCGAGACTCTGGGAACACGATCTGAGATGAAGGCAGCCACTTAACCGACTGAGCCACCCAGGAGCCCCCCCAGAACTCATGTTCTTAACTGGGATGCAATATGCCCTTCTTTGCAATATCAGGGCACCTGTAGTACATGTTAAGTACTATCATAGGTTCTGCAAAGGAAATTAAGGAAAACACAAAGTTCTTGCTCTCAAGGAATATTCAATCTAATTGCAAAGACTTCTACCTCACAAGTGAAAGTTAAATAGCAATATATAATATAAAGTGTAAAATATGTTGCCAACTCTGCCACTAATGTGTCTTGTAACCGTAAGCAACTGGTTTTCCTCTCTGAGCCTCATTTGTATAAATGGGGGCGGGGAGCCTAGAAGATCTCTGAAGGCCTTTCAGCTCTAAAAATCTAGAATTCTCTAACGGTAACTTGGCTCTTTCACAAGAATGTTTTCCTCTGCAAAATACAAGAAGCTGAAAGATGGCAACATAACCTGCTAGTGGGAAATGTCTAAATAAGAAATGTCTACTCCAGAAAGATGTTACCTGTGACAACAGCAGAGTGGCCCCCTCCTCCTGTGATCCTCCTGATACACTCAGGTTTAAAGAAGTCATTCAGTTGCTGGGGCAAAAGTACATCTTCCTTATGGCCAAGGCCAAGTTGTCCGTAGCTATTCGCACCCTAGGGATAATGTAAGGCAAGGATGAAAGCATACAGGAACCATAACTGTCAATGTGCATTTACCTGTCCCTATCTTTCTCATCCTGACATGCCTCTCAGAGCCTTTCACAGATGAGATTTCATAAGCTCATTCTTAAGAGGCTGTTATATGCAACCCATACTTAGATAGTGGCCCCATTCCCAGAACACCACGATTTTCATGTGAGAAGAGCCCTTAGTACCACTACTTATCCAAACATACTCCTCGCCTTCTCCTTCCAACGCCCCAGCCCACATGTGTCATCTTTGGGGGGCAGCATGGGAGTTCCTTCTGAGAAAAGCTAATTCTCTAGGGAGGCTAAGAAAAGAAATGAGGGGAAATGGGAACAAAGTGGGTGGGAAATGCACTGGATTTGTCCCTTCTCCTCATGCCTTCACTGAGAAAACTGGCAATGCTTCTGTAATCAAAAGTTAGCTGAGAACTTTGTGCCCTTAAGCAGGGCACCTCATTGTTATTTCATTGTAAAGTGAAAGAGGTTGGAAATGATCTTGAAGGGCCTTTCCAAGTACAGTGTTGTGTGACTCTGAGATTCATGTGGTGAGATTCCCGTAAGGAAACAGATTTCCCCTTGGTGGGCAATATGTCTATCTTTGTTATTATGAAATAAAGGTCCAGAATCTCTAATCCAAAACCCTTGCAGCTAGATGTATTTCAGATTCAGAACTGTACAGACTTTAGAAAAGTAATACCGTATATAAATCAGATACACTACTGCAAGGTTCAGGAGCAGCACCCCATAAGCAAAATAGTATTATTTCTGCAGTAAGAGGTACAAATACAGTAAGCAGGCAAAGACTATATATAGCATTATGTCAGGTCAGTTTGGGGTTTTTGGAGTTTTTTGTACTCAAAATTGAAGATAAAGAATTGTAGACCTGCAGGAAGAATCTATAGATTTCAGAAATCTTTATAATTCCTCCAAGTATCTACTCCTGACTGGTTCTTCCTAGATATGAGTAGCAAAAACTTCCAAATGTGTTTGTTTTTTAAGACACCTGAAAGAGGAAAAGTGATTTAAAATAACTACCCAAAATACATACGTACATACAAACTTCTGCCCCTTATGGTCTATTTCACATTTGTACAGGGCTGCAAGGACTCCAAGCTGGAAGCGGAAACCATGACGGGGCACAGGTCCCAGAGGCCTTCAGGGACAGTATTAGCTGCCAAACAGAGTGCTTCTCCAATGGTTGGCATTCACCTTTAATTCTCACAATAACAGAGGAGATGGACATTATCGCTCCCATTTTACAGATGAAGAAACTAAGGCTCAGAGAGGTTAAGTGACTTTCCGTAGTCATATAGCTGGGAAGGCAATAAGACAGATATGCCCCGCTCCTTTCATTATACTATACTGTGTCTCTTAAGGATATATGGTGAACTTCAGACCAGAGCTTCCCTGGCAAGAGGTTAACTATATCTACAGTACCCGCATCACTTTATCCACCTTTTTCTGCTTTATTTTTCTTCATAGCACTCCCTGACATGACATTTGCTTATTGTTTATTGTCTACCTCCCCTACTAAAAAGCAAACTCAATGAGGGCAGGAACGATGTTCACTGCCATGTCCCCTGCACCTGAAACTGTGCTGGCCCAGAGAAGGTGTACATATATTTATATAGTAAATGAATGTAAGGTCTGATGAGGCCCTACCTAGGAAAGATGAAAGGAAAAATGTGCACACTGTGGGGTATACATGCACAGGATGTCTCCGTCAGCCCTGAGATTTCTGTGACTGCCCCACGAGCAGGACTGCAGTCTGCTGAACAGAAAGTGAGAGAGACACAGGCACTTGAGGCTCAAATTATGGCACTCAATTTCTGTAACACAGCAAGAGGCCCAAAACCCAGGATAAAGCAAAACAGAGGAAAATTCAATACATGTCTCAGCTGTATTTGCCTCCTTTCCTTACAAACACTTCAGACATAGCATACCCACATACAACTCCAAGGAGGTAAATTTCCTTGTTATGGGCTGAATTGTGTTCCCCTAAAATTAATTTGCTGAAGCCTTAGCCTCTAATATCTCAGAATGTGGCTATATTTGGAGATCGGGCCTTTTAAGAGATAATTAAGGTTAAATGAGGTCGTAAAGGTAGGGCTCAAATTCAATATAAGAAGAGACACAGGGATGCTCTCAGATTGAGAAAAAGCCACATGAGGACACCACAAGAAGGTAGCCATCTGCAAGCCAAAGAAAGAGGCTTCAGAAGAAAGTAAACCGCTGCCACCTTGCTCTTGAACTTCTGCCCCCAGAACTGCAAGGAAATAAAATTCCATTTTTTAAGACCTCCCAGTCTGTGGTATTTTTCTATCCCAGCACTGGCAAACTAATACACCTCTCCACACATATTACACAGCAGGAAGGCCAGCAGGCCTCCAAGCAGTTAGAAGAGGCCATATCTGACGCAGACCCCAGTCTCCCGCCTGGGAAAAGCCACCCCAGGCACACATTCAATCCCCAAATCCACCCCCAGCTCAAGTGCCACCTCAAAAAGAGTACCCAGACAGCCAGGCTACCTCAGGCCACACCACCGTCTCCCTTCCACCAGTCTGCTGCCTTACATTCAACAAGTGCTGCTTGGTACTGATTATCACCTTCGTTCGATTAGTCAATACATGTTCGTTTTAACGGTAATATAGGTGGTATCCCGCTCCCTCAACTCAAGAGCTGGGCCTTTCACTTTTGTGTTTTTCCCAAAAGACCAACACATAGCCAGGCACACAAAAGGGTCTCATTCATTCATTTGTCAACAAATATTTGCTAGGCACCGTGACATGCCTGGCACAATACCCACCCTTATGACACTTATATTCTAGCCAAGGAGACGGACATTAACAAATTCTACATTTCATTACAATTGTGATATGGGCTGTAAAGAACTACAAGACACTATGTCCGCTTATTCCCAAGCATCTGTCTGGTCGGCCGCTTGCAACACACTGCTGTGCAGAGACCCTCCTCTCTCCTAGCCAGGACACAAGAAGATGACCCTGTCTCTCAGTGCCTCCATCAAACCAACACCCGCGCAGACTCCCACGCCCCCAATACAGGCAAGATCCGGTCACAGAAGAGTATCAGCAAACATGCAGGATCTCCGCCTTGTGCACCGCCCACCACCGCAGGCCTCGCGTCAAAGGATGATCCCGCCAGGCTGGGGTGGGGCTGGGAAGGGGCCGGCATCCTGCGGGCAACCGGAGGGTGAGGAGCACAGGTGGCCCCACAGGGCTCTGGGACGGGGCGATCCCTCCACGCCGTCCCTCCCGGCGCTATCCGGGCCTGGGGGCTCTGGCGGAACCACACGCTCTGCCCAGGAGGCAGATGCTTCCAGCTGCGCCGCAGCCCCCTCGAGTCCGGACCCCACCAGCCAGCAGGCCCCTAAGTCACCCGTGAGGGCCGCTCCCTCCCGACCCTCTCCCCCTCAGCCACCAGCCCAGGATCCTCCAACCCAGAGCCTGGCCCGGACCTCGGCCGCCCAGCCCAGGAACGCCAACGCCGAGGCCGCCAGCTCCCCGCGCCTCTGCGCCCCCTCAGTCCCAGCGGCCCCGGCCCGGGGGCGGAGTCACGTACCCAGGCGAAGAGCGCGGCCGCCGCAGGGGCGGCCTCGGAGGCGCTCGGCTCCCGCTCCATGTGGGGACACTCCGCCGGCGCTTCCGGGAGGGGTCGGGGGTGGGGCCCACTAGGGGAGGGATTAGTGATGGGGTGTGGGCCCGGCGCGGGTGGGACCTGTGATTGGGAGGGGCCGGCGCGGGGGAGGAGTCTGCAATGAAGGCGGGGCCCTTGTTCGGGAGGGGTCTGCCGTGGGGAAGGAGCAGGCACGGGGGAGGGGTCTGTAGCGGAGGCGGGGCCGACGTAGGAGAGGGGCCTGTAGTGGGAGCAGGGCCGGAGCGGTGACGAAGGGGGAAGAGGGTCTGCGGTGGGGGCGGGGCCAGAGTGGGGGAGGGGCCTGTGGATGAGGCGGGGCCATCACTGGGGCGTGGTCTGAAATGGGGGCGGGGGCGGAGCCGAGGGAGGGCCCGCGAGAGCCGGGCAATCGCCTCTGGAGCGTGCCCCGGATCGCCGCGTCCGGCCGCGCTCAGAGCGTCTCTGCCTTTGGCCCCAGCCTTGCAGTGCCGTTGTGCTTCTCCCTCCCTCCCCTCGCACTCTATTTTTAGTAATATACGAATGCACTAAGCTCCTTCGTGTTTTTATCTTATTGGAGTCCCACGACAGCCCGGAGGCGCTGACCGGGAAGAAACTGAGCCGGGGAGCGGTGTGGAAAGGGTCCTGTCCCAGTGTCTTAGCCGAGCTGTCTTTGAATCTGCTTTGGTGTGCGTTTGCAAAATCTAAGAAAGCTTCTTGGTAAGCGAGTGTGCAGGAACTTACTCCTCGGGACACGAAACTGAGGAGGCTGGTTCTCACGGATTCCTGCCGGGGCAGCCTTCTAACCCTCAGCGCTCAGAGCACGGTCCTGCCCTGATTCTGATCATCAATACTGGATAATTTTCACCCAACAGAGGTTTTCATATAAAATGGCTTTTATTAGACACCCTGCTACACCGCTGGTAGGAGCTAAATAAATACAGTTTTCCTGAAGGAAAATGTGGCAACGCGTATTAGGAACATGAAGATAAATAAACAGATATTTACCCAGTAAATTCCACATCTGTTAATTTATCCCGAGAAAATAAAGCTGTGCACAAAGACTTAGACTGCAAATTATTCATTATGGAATTGTATATCATAGGGAAGAACTTAATTACCTGCAAGTCCAAAAATAAATTGTGTAAATTGTGGCATATCCATGCAGTGGAATACTAGGCTGCCATTTAAAAAATATGTATTGGAAGACATTATGTAAGGGAAGTGTTCATGATATGTCATAAACGTAACTATTATAGCAATTTTTTACACACACAACACAAACACATATACTCAGGCGGATTACAGCTGAATTTTCTTTTCTTTGTTGTACTTTTTTTGTACATAACCTCCATTTCCCAAGCCACCCATAATCTTGTGGGTATAAATGGGGTCACATTAAAGATGATAATCCGTATTCACTAGTTCTTGACCCCTCTGCTGACAGAAGCCTCCAGTCCTCATTACCCTTTACGCCTGGGAGCCCTGGAATGTATCTCCAGTGAGCTCTGACCAGACAGACCTTTCCTGCTTTCACTCCCCCTACTCCTTGGTGTTTCTGCCTGTAAGACCACGTGAGGGCAGCACCTCACTTTTCCCTCTCCAGCCTGGGGTATGTTGAGAACATCCAGGACCATGCTAAGAAAAATACAAACTTGTGAAAGAGGGGTCTAGAAACCCGTGTATGACTTCCAGTCTATGAAAGAAGTTGGAGAGGCTGAGAGAATTCTGATAGGATATAGGGGGACCGATGTCAGTGTGCTGTGAGCGCCTCCCATCTCATGTCTCAGGAAAGGCCTGCTGCTGCAGAGCCACTTAGAGAGCTGGGTATGTATGTATCCCTCCAGACTGGTGCCTGGACAGGCTGTTGATTCATCCTGAGAAATCCAATGGCTTGTGGCCAGATAGCTGAGCACAGAGAGATCAATTTGGAGAAGTCATTCATGCCCAGAGTATCTCCCATGTATTTCTCATGCAGCAATTTGGCTAGGGGGTGGTCTTAGACACTGTCCAGGGAAATTTCTGGAGGGGTGAAGTGACACCCCAATGGAGTTGACCACTAGATTCCTAGAGAGTGAGGGAGATGAATTCAACAGCCCAGTCACATCAACAGATCCCCCAAAAAATAAGAGGGTGAGAAGTTCCTCCAAAACACCCCCAGAGAATTGGTCAGCATTAATGCCAACTCACAACAGTATCAGACCAAACAGAACTTTCCACTCATTGCCTCTCCTCCCCACCACCATCCCCAAACCATGGAGGAGCCAGAGGCATCCTACTGAGTGGGCACAGAGGAACAAGAAAAGAGAGAGAGAAATTAGAAGCTAAGGGCTAGGAATGAGCAGAAAATTCATGGGCAGGACCTGAGATTTCAGCCAAAGGGGCAAGGACTATCCACAGAATCAGGTTTTTTTTTTTTTTAAGATTTATTTATTTGAGAGAGCGAGAATGAGAGAGAGAGAGTATATGGGAGGGGGGAGGGTTAGAGGGAGAAGCAGGCTCCTCACTGAGCAGGGAGACCGATGCGGGACTTGATCCTGGGACTCCAGCCAGGATCATGACCTGAGCCGAAGGCAGTTGCCCAACCAACCCAGGCGCCCCGAGTCAGTTTTAATAGAGAGAGGATCTAGAAGAATACACTTGTCCTTCAATTTCACCCCTTGAATGTACATACATCGATACTTCAACTAACTTACAGTTATATCATTATGTTATATCTTTTAATACAATTTCTAGGAAGTGTTGCAATGTTGCCACTATTTCAACTATGTACATGCCACTGAGTAATTCTTCCCATTAGTAGCCTGGCTGAGTTGCAGTTCTTGAATGGGGCTAAACTATTTGATGGTATCACTTTCAGATGCCTTGTTTCCATGTAAGAGGACAGTATAAAGTACTTTGGGGCCATATAGACTACATCTATGTACGATACAAGTTAGAAAATGTTTTCCTTTAGATCATCTTATTTTATAGATGAAAAAAACTGAGGCTCAAAGAAATTAAATGATTTACTCCAAGGTCAAATTTCTGCCTTTGATAAAGACAGATTAGCTAGCTATAGACCAAGGCTCTCACAAAAACAACTAGAAAAGCTGGGGGATAATATTTTAAAAATCTGTTTCAAGTCATTGGAGAACTATCAAAGCAGCCAGAACTTGAAAGGCCAAGATCTGGAAGCTGAGAGATTATATCTGGCACTACTTTTCCACTGGAAGTGTTTGCTAATTAGCAAGCAGTGACTTGGAGGCCAAGAAACTGGGCTGAAAGCTGAACAGTACTTTCAGCAATCATATAGGGGTGGGAAGAATGACAGAAGGAGGGGACAAAGGCAGGAGTCCAGGGTTCCCAAGGAGAAGCCCCAGCATACATCCATAGCTTGCCTTTGGGATCCCTAAAGTGCTGCACTCTGAGAGTAGAGGTGAACTGGAAATAGACCAGCCCTCACAAAGACTGATGGTCAGCTTCAAATTGGCTTATCCCTGACTGTACTAAGAAGATCTTCCCACGCCATTATATACTGCCTGCTAGAATTCCCTCTGGAGGAAGATAAAGTCATCCAGAAGTTATGGGGGATCCCGGATCAGGACAGTGATTATATTAATGATTCTTTACATATGGATGTTTCTTTTTACAATGTCCTTTTGCAACATAATTCCTCCAATAACCCAGTGAAGTAGATTTAACTCCTTATACAGAGGAGGAACATATGATTGAGACTTTATCAAAAATTCCAAAAGTAGTTACTAGGTTCCAGGTGTGTTTGGATTCTCTTATATCTCATATTCACAGGCTTTTCAAGAAACGTAAGGATGTTATAGATTTCTTAAACTTACGACATTGCTAATATATATTTAAATCAGGTTTGGGTTTTGGTTTTTGTTGTTTTGTTTTGTTTTTGAGAGAGAGAGTGAGAGGGAGAGCCGGCGGTCAGGGTTGGGGGGAGCAGAGAGAATCCTAAGCGGACTCCATGCCCCACCCGGGGCTTGACCTCACGACCCTGAGATCATGACCTGAGCCAAAATCAAGAGTCAGATGCTTAACTGACTAAGTCACCCAGGCATCCCATAAATCAGTTTTTTAGCTTATCTTTGACAAAAAAAAATTTTTTGCTTGTTAAGAACATGAATTTTGGGGGCACATGGGTGGCTCAGTAGTTAAGCATCTGCATTCGGCTCAGGTCATGATCCCAGGGTCCTGGGATCGAGCCCCGCATCAGGCTCCCTGTTCTGTTGAGCCTGCTTCTCCCTTTCCCTCTGCCTGCTGCCCCCCACCCCCTGCTGTGCTCTCTCTCTCTCTCTGTCAAATAAATAAATAAATAACCTTAAAAAAAAAAGGAACATGGATTTTGGGGCGCCTGGGTTGGCTCAGTCAGTTAAGTGGCTGCCTTCAGCTCAGGTCATGATCCCAGAGTCCTGGGATCGAACCCCATGTCAGGTTCCCCATTCACTGGGGAGTCTGCTTCTCCCTCCCCCTCTGCCCCTTCCTCTGTTTGTGCTTTCTCTCAAATAAATAAATAAAATCTTCAAAGAAAAAAAAAGAACATGAATTTTGTGTCCATTTATTATTATCCCGTTGAATAACAAACTTACAAATCATAAATGTATATCACATAGTAAAGACTAGACTGAAATGGACCAAAGCATCTTTATTCATTTCCTAGAAATTAATATATGAACTCTATTATGTGTGCCTTTAAAGAACTCCAGGATTTTTTCCTTTTTCAATTTGAAAGCCAACTTAAAAATTAAGTATAGGGCGCCTGGGTGGCTCAGTTGGTTAAAAATTAAGTATAATTATATACATTCTGGTGTGTCATTACTATTATATAACTCTGAATTACAAAATAGGCAGATTAAGAAACATAGGCATTCTGACAACCAGCTTTTGGAGCTTTCTTCAAAAAGTCAGGAAAATATCACCTAAGTCTTTAAGTAAAAAGTAACTGATTAAGAATTATAAACCAAACTTTTGGCTCAATTCTGTTCTCATATTGGAGTAAATATTAACATATTCTTAGATGTTTCGAAGATA